CCCCCCTCCCTGCAGGAGTGACGACGGCCTTGCCGCCCCCGCCCCGTGTCCCCCTGCCCCTCGCTCCTCCCTCCTCCTCCTCCTCCTCCTCCTCCATCCTCCTCCTCCTCCTCCTCCTCCTCCTCCTCCTCCGCCTCCCCCTCACTCCTCTTCCTGCGCCTCCTGCTGACCTTCCTCGTCCGAGCCTACCCTTCCCCCAGGCCAAGCTCGACGTCGGCAGCGGCGGTCCTTCGGTGGCGAGATCCGAGCCCTCCCCTCGCCGATGGGCTGGGGATGGGGGTGGGGCTTGGGATCCGTCGAGCACGGGGCGATATCCGAGCCCTGCCCCCGCCTCCCATCGAAGCAGGAGGCTCGATGGTCGGTGCGGGCAGGGTTCGGATGTCGCCACCTAGACCCTGGCACGGGCGAGGCCGAGCTCGCCTCGGGCGGTTCGCTGCAGGAGAGGGACCCCAAGAGGGCCCCGACGGTGCACGAAAGGTGCACATCTCTTCGCCCCTCCGCTTGCATTGCCCTCCCAGTAAGCCAGTGCCCCATCGCCTCGCCGCGGCCGAGCTCGCCCCACCCCGTGCCGACATTCCCGACCCCGCAGCAGGCCGCGCCTGCTGCGCCCGACGCCGTCGCGCGCCAGCCGGCGGAGCAGCCGCCGCCCACGGCGGAGGCGGGCGCCGAAGGCCCTCCTGCGAATCTCGGCTCGCCTGCTCCGCTGCGCCCTCCGCGCCACTGACGGCGACGACGAGATGGCGAGATGGAAGGGGTGACTATACCACTGCCGATCCCTCGCTTCGGCCCTCTCTCGGGCCTTCTGGGAGGCCTTCGTCGCCACGGCTGGCTTCTCCTTGAAGAGTTCAGATCAGAGAGCATCCTGGGAGAGGTCCAAGGAGCTGCGGCAGCGGTATCTCTCGGTTTTCTTAGTGCTTTGGAAGTCGATGAATGGAGAGGAAGCGTGCTGCCGAATAATTTCCAGATGTGTAACAGATGTTTCAAATATGTTTTACACACTTTAAACACATCTTAAGTTCATTGATAGGATTGATAGAGAGTCCACTGTCGTGGCATCCACAATCCTAGTGACGGTGACGGCCACGGCCACGGCTTCGATGACTTCAGGGACGATGTTGATGGCGACGGCGAGGGCGAGGCCGCGGTGCGGCACCTGGGCTGCGGTGCTACTTGGCTCTCCCGCCCTCTCACCGCCATCGGTGATCGCCATGATCATTCAAGTACTTGTCGGTGACATGGGCTCCCGCGCGTCAGGCGCCCACCAGGGCGTCGCAGGAGACCTCACGGCGCGCTCGGCGAGCTCCTGCTGGCGGCGTCGTTGCGTCGCTGCTGGCTCGCGCGGGCGCGCGCGGGCTGCCTTGAGCAGCCTCACGCGCGCCTCCGTTGCTGCCACTTGCTCGACCCATCGCTGCCCAGAGGCTGCCCGATCTCTCCGAGGGGGCTCGGCGAGAGACGGTGCAGGCCTCGTGGCCAGGCACGCGCTTCTGCGCAGGTGGCCCGGCCCTGATGGCGCGCGACCCCGGTGTGGTGTCCCTTCCCTGACCCTTTCGAGAGCGGCATCAGCCTTGAGGGCCTTCTCCTCCGCCTCCTCCTCCCTTTCCTCCTTCCGTCCCTCCTGATGCTGCTGCTGCTCCTCCTCATCATCATCACCACCATCATCACCATCATCATCATCATCATCATCAGCAGCAGCAGCATCGATACCGCCATCGCCATCGTCGTCATCGTCATCATTGTCAACATCATCATTATCATCGTCATCTTTATATTATCATTAGCACCATCATCATCATCATCATCATCATCATCATCATCATCATCATCATCATCCTTATCATCTCAACATCAACATCATCATCATCACCATCATCATCATCATCACTACGACCATGATCATTATCAGCATGTTCATCATCATTATCACCATCGTCATCATCAACATCGTTAGCACCATCATTATCATCATCATCGTCGCCATCACTATCATAGTAGTGATAGTCATCATCACAACCATGATCATCAGCAGCAGCATCATCATTGTTATCATCATCATCATCATCAGCAGCATCGGCATTGTCGTCGTCATATCCATCACCACCACCATCATCATCGTCATCATCATCATCATCACCACCATCATCATCACCATCATCATCATCATATTTCCTGCTCCTCCCTCTTCCTGCTCCTCATTCCTCCGCCTCGTCATTCTCTTCCTCCCTTCTACTCCTCCTCCTCATCATCATTACCCTCATGATTATTATTGTTCGTTTTCTTTTGTTTCTTCTTCTTCTTCTTTCACCCCTGCCACATCCTACCCTTCTGTGGTCACTGACTCCCAGTCCCCCTGCTCTTCGGCGAGGAGGCGGAGGAGGCGGAGGAGGAAGAAGAGGAGGAGGACGACGAGGACCAGTACAATGAGGACAGGGAGGAGAGAGACGAGGAGGGACAGGAGGAGGGAGGGAGGACGGGAGCGAAGGGGGGGGGAAGGGAGGGGTAAGGGGGAGGAGGAAGAGGGGGGAGGAGAGGAGGGGGGAGGGGAGAGGGGGAGGGGAGGGGGGGGGAGGAGAGGAGGAGGAGAGGAGGAGGAGGAAGGAGGGGAGGACAGGAGGAGGAGGAGGAGGAGGAGAGGAGGAGGAGAGGAGGGAGACGGAAGGAGGAGGAGGACGAGGAGGAGGAGGAGGAGGAGGAGGAGGAGGAGGAGGAGGAGGTGGAGGTCCGTAGCCATTTTTGCTAAGGCTTTTCCGTAGGCCCCCTGCTCCTGGACCTTGCCCCTCGGCGTACCCTGCGACCCCAACCCGTCGTCAGTTCGGGGCAACGCGGCGGGCGCGAGGGACGGGGGGGAGTGGGGCTTTTGGCTCACGGAGATGGTGGGGGGGGGTGCCCGATAGCATGGCGGCCCTGTCCTCTCCCGCGCCGAGGAGATTCGCCCCCTCGGCCCTTCGGCGGTGCGGCGGGCGCCCCGTCGCCGACGCCAGCTGGCCCGCGAAGCTGCCCTCCGTGCTCTTCTTGCCGAAGGTGGCGACGACGCAGGTGGCCGAGGGTCGTGGCGTGACCGCGAGGCGGCGTCGCGCTCCGCGGGGCAGCTCCGGGCCGGGCAGCAGGGCGCCGCGTCCCCGGGCGCCTGCGGCGACGCCGCAGTGCGGCTTGGCAGGCGGCGGAGGTGCCGCCCAGAGGACCTGCCCGGGCCATCGGTTCGGACCTCGCGATCGTGGCCGCGGGCCCGAGGCTCGACGACGTCGGCACTGCGGCGGCGGCGCCGCGCACGCCCGACGCCCCTGGCGCCAGTTCAGCGGGGCTCGCCCGCAAAGGTGCTGAGGAGGGAGGCGCCGTCTTGGCCTGACGGCTGGTCCTCGCTGAGTGGGTCCGAGGCCGTGCTGGGGGATAAGACCCCTGGTGAGGGCAAGCAGGCCCGTTTCCCCGCGGTCTTCGAGGATGTGGCAGAGGCAGCTGGGCTTCTGGGCGGCGGTGCTGCATGCGCTGAGGCGCAGCCGCCGCCGACGCAGGTCGTCGAGCAGGAGGGAAAGGCGGAGGTCGTCGACGAGCATTCGGATCGTGAGGCCGAAGTGTGTGTTCGACGTGCAGGCCGGCGACATGGACAAAGACGGGCCGCAAGAGCTCGAGAGCCATGGTACGGAAATGGTGGCTTCGGCCCCTTCGATGCGTGGCGCTTCTGCGGCGGCCGTCGAGGCGGAGTTGGAGATCTCGCAGAAGTTTCCCGAAAGTGGCCAACGGAGGTCCTGCGCCGAGGGGCACGAACTGGACTGGGGTGGGGCTAGCTCCTTCGACGACGAGGACGAGTATCGCCTGCCACCAACGTGCTCCATGTGTGCTGGCATATGTAATCCCGTGTGGAAGTAAGATATCTAGTTGTAGCAATTCCTACTGTGAAGACATGTTCTGCGAGAGTTGTAGTCGACTATAGCCGCGACGGCCAGATTTTTCATGCGCCAGTGGAGGAACGTTTGTTTTCTTTCTCGATGCACGGACATCCCAGAGCAATAGAGTTTTTTGCGATGGAAACATTATGCTCGTAAGGAGCTGTCTGGCATCCTTTGCGAAGGGGGTGGGCTTTCCTGGGGCAGGCTGGGCTCGGCGTTCGTCTTTGGGCTGTCCTTCGAGTCGCTCATCTGACGAGGTGCCGCGATGTTGGGAATACCTTGAAGTTAGGTCAGAGGTCAGAGGATGAGGAGGAGGAAGAGGAGATGGAAGAGGAGGAGGAGGAGGAGGAGGAGGAGGAGAGGAGGAAGAGAAGGAGGATGACCAGTGTAATCCCAAGACGCTTCAAACGATGTTGCAATACGCCCTCCCTTCAAGTTCCCTCTTTCAGAAGCCCCTGCAAGAATATATATATATATATATATATATATATATATAGATATTGCTTCATTAGAAGGCAACCGTCCGAGAGTCTTTAATCGTGCCAAGACGGGGTTCCTGGGACTTCAACGCCGCGGATCAACGTGACTGTTGCGCCCTGACAATCCTAGATTGTGCCAGAACGCCGTCCCTGGTACTTCAACGCTGTGAACCAATGCGACTGTTACGTCCTGATAACCCTAAATCATACCAGAGCACCACGCCTAGGACCGTAACCCCGCGAATAAGCATGACTTTTACGCACTGACAGTCTGAGTTCCTCCCAGGACACAAATCCTGGGACTTCAACCAATCCTTAACACTGTCGCAAACGTTTAAGACGAATGCGCGCTGTGCTATCTTTTGGAGTGGTTACAACCTTTTAAGACGAATGCGCGCGGCGCTGATAGTATAACCACAGTTTGACAATCACCGGTCCTCCACCCTTGAATTTGCCGCAAACTTCTAAGCTAAGGCGAATGTGCGCGGCGCTATGGCGAGAGCAACATTCACGAAAGGATTCGCCCTCCATCCGTGATGGTGCTGCGAATTTCATGGCAAACGTGCGCGGCGCGAAGGCGAGAACAGCATTTTGAGAACGCCCGCCCTCCATCCGTGAAACGGTTGCCAATGTCATGCTCGAGGATCATGCGTTGTGAGGAAGTCTCGAGCGAAACGCCCAGCTCGCCCTACCGACACGTCTGAGAGTGCGACATGGGAAAGTCATCCAGGAGGAGCCCGCATGGAGGATGGAGGGAGGGAGGGAGGGATGAGTAGGAGGGGGAGGAGGAGGGGGAGGAGGAGGAGGAGGAGGAGGAGGAGGGGCAGGAGGAGGAGGAAGATGAGGAGGAGGAGGAGGCGGAGGAGGAGAACGAGGAGGAAAAGGTGAAGGAGGAGGAGGAGGAAGAGGAGGACGGGAGGAGCAGCAGGAGGAGGGAATCCTTGCCGCGCCATCGGCCTCCCTTTGGGTGAGGGTCCGGCCAGCAGTGCAGTAGGAGGGCGTCCGCCGCAGGAACAAGGTCACGGTTGAGGGTTGCCCGATCCAGCCTTCACCCTTGACCCATAGCATTGGCAGCTCGGAGCCTACAGGTGCATGTGCCTGGAGACCTCCTTGAGCATCCGACGAGAAGGGAGGGAGGGATGAGCCTCATCCCTCCATTCTCCCCCTCCCCTTCCCGTCCATCTCCTCCGCCTCCTCCTGCTTCTCCTGCTTGTCCCTCGTCGTCCTCCTCCTCCATCACTTTTCGTAATATTTAACACCTCCCTCTCGCACCCTCAGACGTCGTTAGGACGGGCCGGGCGTTTCGCCTGAGACTTTCGCACAATATACGATCCTGACGTTTGGAATGTGCGACGGTTTCAAAGAGATGGGCGGCCCGTCTTCAAACTGTTGTTTTCGCTTTTGCGCCGCGCAGATCAGTCTTACAATTCAAGGATTCAGGGCGGCTCGATTTCAACATGTGGCTCTCGCCTTACCGTCGCGCGCGTTTGTGTTAAAAGGTTGCAGCCTGATCGAAATCTCATGAACGGCGTTTCGGTACGAGTTGGGATTGTCAGGATGCAATCACGTTTGTTCGCTGGGTCGAAGTCCTAGGAATTGGGTTCTCGCATGGTTCTGGGTTGTTGGGACGCAACCGTCCCGCTGATTCGCTGCGTTGAAGTCCAAGGAGTTGTGCTTCGGCATGATTGAGAATTATCAGACGGTTGTCTTCCAATGCGGCATTTCCGCAATGAGAACACTATTGCAGAACATGTGAAGAAGGGACTTGGAGGGAGGGTTCATTGCAACATCGTTGATGCGTTTTCGGAATACGTACGCTGGTCCCTTTTCATCCTCCTCTTCGTCGTCGTCCTCCTCCTCATCCTCAACACTCCTCAGCTCTCTTCAACGCTCCCCAACACTCCTCAACACTCCTTAAGTCAGCTGCCACCCCTCCCTTCTTCCCACTCCTCCCTCCTCCCCATCCTCATCTCCCCCCCTCCCCCTCCTTCCCCCTTCTTTGCCCCCCTTCTTCCCCCTCCGTCTGCCCCCCCCCTTCCCTCTTCCTTCTCCTCCTCCTCTTGACATGCACGTCATACTGTAATCGCGCACGGTAGTATCCACTCCGTCGTCCTCTTCAACTCGTCGCTTGCCCTACATATTGTCAACATACATAGCGATCCTGGCCTCCCAGTGCTCCGACGCAAGCAACAGCTCGATGACATTCGTGTTGCTTTCCGACCGCATGGCTAGTGCACCATGCTGATGTGCGGCGACTTTAACTTCCCAGCGTGTGGGGAAGGGAACTGTCAGACTTCGGGGCGTCTTGTGTACTCGACCGCCAGTTTGGGCAAGTACTTTCAGCGTGTGCTCCCGTTCTTGACAGAGATTGAACAACCGAGTTTCACTCACAGGGTCGAGGGCTATGCTGGTGGGAAGAAAACAGTGGTGTCCCTGGGTCGTATCGATCGGGTCTACACGTCGCTTCCGTCAGTTTTGATATTGGATAGGTCGCCTGCTTCTGGCACAAATAGGTGTGCTGCTGACATCACGCAGCTGTCAGACCACGTGCCCGTTTTCTTGTCTTTGGCTCCTGATGGACTGTCTGGGCACCACCGCATCCCCTCCTGGGTCACAAAGCACAAGCTGTTTCCCGAAGTTTTCCAGGAGGTGCTCGAGGGCGCTGGTGATCGGTTCCTGGATCCCATCGAGAATGTCGAGGAGATCCGCGCGGCGATCAAGGGTTCTGCTAGAATGGTTTTTGAGTCGGCTTGAACATCGTGGTACCCAGTCTCTGCTCGAGTATAAGTCTTGGGGTCTTGCTGCTATGCGGGCCGTCAGAGCCCAAGGGCCAGGAGTGCTGCGTCGAGCGTTGCAAGCCTACTCCAGGCTCCAGCAATTCTTTGGCGTCCAGTCTTGCGCCTACTCCGACTTTGTGGCGTTCCATGCGTTCCTCGCGGGTTTGAAACGACAACAGTTCGACTAACAAATCAACAAGGTACGAGGTGATGATGACATCCACCCAAAAAACGAAAGACTATGCCGACGATGCCTTACGCATACCGTACTGCATGGCAGACCAAACGGTGCTTTTGTTGCTCTTCAGGCGATTGCCGACCCATTAGGTGTGCCAATATTTGATCCGCATGCTGGCGCTCGTGAACTTGCGCGGCACTGGGGTTCGGTGCACAGCGCTGCCGATCTAGATGCCAGCGCCTTCGACGAGCTGAGCGTTCATATTCAGCAGGTGCCAGGCATTGTACTATGGACTCTGGAGGAGGAGGAGGAGTTTATCCACATGGTGAAGAAAACCAAGGACAGCGCCCCAGGGCCCGACGGCATTCCGCACTTTAGGTGGTCTAAGGCGGGGGAGGCTGGAGGTCGTGCGCTGTATGATTCACGTGTATAATATATTCTGCCCACGGGAGTGCCACCACGAGTTCAATTTCGGGCACAATGTTTTCCTGGCCAAAGGGGACGACCAGCGCGATCAGGAGATATGTATGCGTGCCCCTTCTGTCACCCGTCCACTCACCATGTCATGTACTTCTAACAAGATCATATCGTTGGCTATCAATCGTCCTCTCGCTACTGTTTGCAAGTGCACATGCGTTACTGAACAACGTGGTTTTATTGCGGGCCGCAACATGGGCAAGCATATCTTCGAGCTTGAGTTTCGAGCGTTGCGTTGGTTTTTACAGCGAAACATGGCCTCCACGGGTTTGATCCTACACGATGTGCGCGCTGCCTTCCCTAGTCTGTTGCACGGCGCCATCTTGAACACCTTGCGCGCCATGGGCGTCCCCCACTTCTTTGCGCGTGCCATCCAGTGTCTCTGCACGACTGTATGGACGTCCATCGTCTACCGGGGCCACCACTCTGATGTGGGCTACGGGTTCCAGCGCGGCATCAAGCAAGGGTGCCCCGCCAGAGGCTCGTTGTTCGCGCTGGCCGTCGACCCCGTACTTCGGAAGATCTGCCCCCTATTACCTCGTCCTGTGAATAGTCTGGCTGCCTTCGCGGATGATGTGGGGATGAGCTCTGGGGATATCGAAAGCATGATTGCGTGGGCGCTCGCGGTCCCTGGACTGGGCTTATACATCAGCGTGGAGAAGACCGTCGTCGTCCCCCTGGGGATGTCGGAGGCAGATTTTCGAGCGGCGGTAGTTGCTAGAGGCCTCCCTGCTCAAGGACTCCAGCCTCGGCCACATGGACAATACTTTGGAATGCATATTGGGCCTGGCAGTTCTAGCGCCTCTTGGGAGCCTGCTCTGCGTAAGTATAACAAGCGTCTCCAGATGATCCGTGGTTTGGAGTTGGGCCTCCCCCAAACCATCGCCCAGTACAACATGATCGATTTTTCGGTTCTCACGTTTCTTGGACAGCTGCTGGAAACCACTCGTGATGTGCTAAGGACCGGGCGGTTGGGGCTCCAGCAACTGGCTGCTGGGCCTAACAATGCCATTGCATCGACGATGATGCAGAGTCTCACCTTGATAGGCTTCCCAATGGAGGCGCGGTCCATCGTGCTCACTGGACGCGCGGCGCGGTACCGTGCGGTCTGCTACTCGCCCTTTTCCTCTCTCTGGCGGCGGCGCTTGCAGAGTTTGACTCCGACGACGACTGCGTCATTCTGCGGCGCGAGCACAGTTGGCGGAAAGAAAGCATTTTCGGTAACCTACTTAGCAAGTACCAGAGCCTCACTCGCATGCCCGAGGTAATCCGTGATGCCGTCCCGTTGCAGAAGAGAACAGAAACAGTATTGCGCCATCGTGCTCCTCGGTTGGTGATGCCCACAAGTGTTGCCAGATTTAGGAAACTACATCCCAACATGAGTAACCAGCACGCTGATTTTGTTTTGGTGGGTCTCTTCGCTCGTTCCTCCGTCGGCCCTTTCTCCTCAAAACCGTGTGTAATTGCTGGTGCACTTCGGGGCGGTTTCGTAACCTCACCAATCCCTGCCCGATGTGCAGCCTTGCTGGAGGGGATACCCTGCAGCGCATTCTTGAGTGCCCCCATTTCGACTCGCTTGGGATTTTCCTGCCCGCTGTCCCCGCCGCCTTCTGCCTTGCTGACGGCAGGACAATAATAATTCAGATCCATCAGTTCTTTCCGCTCCCAATGATGCCCTTGTTTCCATTGTCTTGTATTATGATGTCTGCTCTCATGCCTACCATACCTACCAGAATCGTGGGGGGCGAATCAGCAAGATATTGAGCGCCCGATTTCGGCAGCTGGTTGTGCGGCTGCCCGCACTTGCTGCGCTTGTCGGCCATGCTCTCCGAGGCGCGCCCGACCCGAACCCTTTGCCCTCTTCTCGCCTCTTGTCCGCCTGCCCTCGTGTCGCCCCTTCTTTTGGTGAGTGCGCTCCTCCTCCTCCTCCTCCTCCTCCTCCTCCTCCTCCTCCTCCTCCTCCTCCTCCTCTTACTCCTCCTCCTCCTCCTCCTCCTCTCACTCTTTCTCCTCCTCCTCCTCCTTTTCCTCCTCTTCCTCCTCCCTCTTCACTTCTCTTTTTCAACCTTGCCCCTCCCCCCCCTGGCCGGGGGCCCGAGGTGCCCCGCCAGCCGCGGCGCCAGACGCGGTGGCGCAGGCGAAGGCCTCGCCGGCGGATTCGCCAGCGTCCTCGCCGGCGGCCCCGCCGGGCACGGCGCAGGCGGAGGCAGCGGAGCAGGCCAGAGAGGGGGAGGTTTTCCTCCTCCTCCTCCTCCTCCTCCTCCTCCTCCTCCTCCTCCTCCTCCTCCACCACCTCCTCCTCCTCCTCCTCCTCCTCCTCCTCCTCCTCCTCCACCTCCTCCTCCTCCTCCTCCTCCTCCCTCCTCCTCCTCCTCCTCCTCCTCCTCCTCCTCCTCCTTCACCTCCTCGTCATCCTCATCCTCATCCTCATCCTCATCCTTTGTTTTTCTTCTCTGTCTCCTCCTCTCTCCCTCCTGCTCCTCCTGCTCCTCCTGCCCCACCTCTGCCCCCCATGGTACCGGCCTATTCCTTGCGCGTGCCTGACGACGCTTGCGGAGCCCGTGCCGTGCCAGCTGGAAGCAATGATGGCAAGGAGTGGTGCGCTGTGTACAGCTGGGCCGATCGCACTGGTGCCCTGGCTCGATCGTGCCCTCCGCGTTGGGGCCAGACGCGGCTCGTCGTGTTCTTGGACGTGCTGGCCATTACCTCGTGCGGCTGGTGCCCGGGGGAGTGCAAGCTCTTGGAGGAGCTACGCGTGGCGGCGTGTCTCGCGCGCGGGGCGCCTGGGGCGGCGCGCAGTTGCGATTTCGAGAGGGCGCGCGACGGCCGCCCGCTCGCCAAGGGCAAGGCGGTGCTCGCGCAGCTCGAGAAGGAGATGAGCCGACAAGGTGAGCCAAGGTCGTCGTCAAGATAGGCCAGCTCGAGCAGCGGCTCGGCGTCGTCATCGCGGGGTGCGCGACCAAAAGGCTCCCACGGGCTGTGCGCGACGGGGCTCCCGCGACGAGGGGTCTTCGTCCCCTCCCCCCTCGTCTCACAAGGGGTACTCCTTCTCCATCCTTGTCGGGCTTCAGGGGTAGGGGGAGGGGGGGAGGAGGATTATGAGGAGGACACGGAGTAGAAGGACGTGGGGGAGTGGGGCGAGCGAAGAGGAGGATCAAAAGGAGGATGAGAAGGAGGAGGACGAGGAGGAGGAGGAGGAGGAGGAGGAATGTGCATGATTAGGACCATAAGATGGACCAGGAGATGGAGGAGGTGGAGGAGGAGGAGGAGGAGGAGGAGGAGGAGGAGGAGGATAGTCAACGAGATGAGCGAGGCGGAGGGGTTGCGGAACAGCAGCATCGGCAGGGACAGGGACAGGAGCATAACGAACCGCATTGGAGAAACGGAATAGACGGAGCAGGAGTAGGCTAGAGGGAGGGCGATGGGGGATCATCGAGAAAGACGGACGGATAGCGACCGGGATATTAAGGAGCCTGTGGCAGTGTAGGAAAGAGAGGAGGGTTGCGATGGGTATGAGGATGATGGTAATGATAGGGAGGAGCAATCATAGCACGGCGCGCAACATATTGATACACATGGTGATGATGGTGATGGTGATGGTGCTGGTGAAGAGGATGCAGAGGAGGAATATGAAGATGACAAAGGTCATGCAAAGGTTATGGAGGAGGAGAAGAAGGACGGCGAGGAGGAACGGCTTCATGAGGCGGGAGTGAGGGGGATGAGCAGAATGTGGGGCTTGAGGTGCAGGGGGAGGATGCGGATGAGGAAGGTGAGAGGAGGACGAGGAGGCGGAGGAAGAGGATGAGGAAGGTGGCTGGGAGGACGAGGAGGAGGAGGAGAAGGAGGAGGAGGAGGAGGCAGGGGAGGAGGCTAACCAGAAGGATCCTTGAAACGATCGCGGCCTCTTCAGACGAATGTGCGTGACACTCAGGCGAGAGCCACATTTTGAAAAGGGACCGCCCTACATCCGTGGCATTTCTGCACACTTTCAAAACGAGTGCGCGTGGCGCTAGGCCATATGTTGAAAACGACCGGCTTTCCATCCATGAGACTCTTGCGAACTTTTAAGCGCGCGGCGCCTCCAGCGATACCCACATTTTGAGAAAGACCTGCCCTCTATCCGTGACGCTGTTCCAAATTCTAATCTAAAGGATCACAAACGGTGAGGAAGTCTCAGGCGAAACTCCCGGCCCGCCTTACTGACACGTTTGCGGTGTGGCAGGGAGGAGTTATCTATAAGGAAAAGGGATGGTGATGATGAGGTGATGATGATGATGAGGAGGAGGAGGAGGAGAAGGAGGAAGACCAGCGCAAGCCCAAAACTCATCAACGGTTTTGCAATAAACCCTACCTCCAAGCTCCTGCTTCGCAGGCCCCTACCAGGGTTCATGTTCACTGAGGGAAGTGCCCCGTTGGGAGACAACCGTTGGGAGATCCTGAAGCGTGCCAAAACACCATTCTCTGAACTTGAACACCACGAATCAACATGAGTGCTGCGTCTTGACGATCCTGAACCGTGCCAGAACACCAGTCCTGGGACTTCAATACAGCGAATCAACGTAACTGCTGCGCCCTGACAATCCTGAATCGTTCCAAAACACCGCTTGTGGTACGCTAACCATGGGAGCCCGTGAAACTTATCAAAATGTTTCAGGCGAGCGTCCTGGCGCTAAGGCGAGAGCCACATTTTGGACTGGAATTGCCCTCAATCCGTGAGGCTCTTGAAATTGTTTAGGACGTGTGCGCGCGGCGCTCAGGCGGGAGCCACATGTTGAAAACGGCCCGCCCTCAATCCGCGAAGCTCTTGCAATTTTGAGAGACGAACTTGCGCGGGGCTAGGGCGAGCCACATTTTGATACATTTTGAAAACGACTCGCCCCCAATCTGTGAACCTCTTGCAATTTGTCACATTTTGAAAACAGCCCGCCCTCCATCAATGAGGCACCTGCAAGTTTCAAGCCTCAGGACCATAGACGGACAGGAATTCTCAGGCGGAACACCCTGCCCGCCAATTCGACCAGCCTCCGGGCGCGACAGGGAGGAGTGATTTATGAGAAGGACTGGAGGACGAGGAGGACAGGGAACATGATAAAGGGGGAGCAGCAGCTCTAGCACGAAAGAGGAGGAAGAGGAGGAGGAGAAGGAGGAGGAGTAGGAGGAGGAGTGTTAGCGGCGGGGGGGGAGAAGTGGGGGGCGTACCAGGCAGAAGAAGCATGATAATGAGAGGTAGCATGAGGAGGAGGAGAAAGAGGAGGATCCGGAGGAGGAAGAGGAGGCAGCGCAGGAGGAGGAGGATGAGGACGAGGGCAGTCGGATGAGGATGAGCCGAAGGAAGAGAAGGAGGAGCATCAGAACAACGCAGAGGGAGAGACGGCCAGAGCCAGGGGGAGCAGCCAGAGGAAAAGGAGGGATAGGGGGCAGAAGGTAGAGGGAGGGATGAGGAGGGAGAGTGGGGAACGGAAGAGGAGGAGGAGGAACTGGGAGGAGGAGGAGGAGGAGGAGGAGGAGGAAGAGGCGAGATAGGAGGAGAGAGAGAAGAGGCATAGCAGGAAGGAAGGATGAGGGGGGAAGAGGGAAGGAGGGAGGAAGGAGGAAGGAGAGAGAGAGAGGAGGGAGGAGGGAGGCTGGGGGTCTGTTCCGAGGAGAGAGGAGGGATGAGGGAGGGAGAGAGGGAGGGAAGGAGGGAGGGAGGAGGAGGAGGAGGAAGGGAAAGACGACGTTGAGGACGAGGAAGAAGATGATGATGATGATGATGAGGAGGAGGAGGAGGAGGAGGAGGGCCACGGTAAACCCAAGACGCATCAACGATGTTACAGTGAACGTTCCTTCCAAGTTCCCCCTTCACAGGTCGATGCAATAACGTTTTCGTATCGCAGAAACAATTGTTTGAGAACCCCCAGCTGTGCCAACACACCATTATTTGGACTTCATCGCCGTGGATTAACGTGACTGTTCCGTCCCGACAGTACGACATCGTGCCAGAACGCCCGTCCTGTCTCTTCAGCCATATGGAGACTGGAAGCGGTTGCAAACTTTTGCGACGAGTGTGCGCGGCGCTGGGGTGAGAGCCACATGTTGAACACGACCCGCCCTCCATCCGTGAAGCTGCGGCAGACGTGTAAGACGAGTGCGCGCGTAGTCAGGGCGAGCGCCGCATTTCGAACATGACCCACCCTCCGTCCTGCCAGCTGCTGCAGTCGTGGAAGACGAATGTGCGCGGCGCTCAGGCGAGAGCTTCATGTTGAAACGCACCCGCACGCCCCTCGCATCCGTGAAGGTGCTGCAAACGTTTAAGACGAATGTGCGGGGCATTCAGGCGAGAGCCACGTTTTGAGAAAGGAGCCCTTGAAGCGGCTGCAATGTTTGAAAACGAATGCGCGCGGCGCTAATACTAGGACCACATGCTGAAAGCAGCTTATCCTCCGTCTTTGAAGCGGCTGCAAACTTCGAATACGACCCGCTGGTTTGAACTTGTTGCAAGTTCCAAGCTTCGGGATCATGATTGGTGAGGGCGTCGCAAGCGAATCGCCAGGCCCGCACTACATACCAACACATCTGGGGGTGCGACAGAGAGTAGTTCGTTCTGAAGAAGAGGGATGGGGGTGGAGGAGGGGGAGGATGAGGAGGAGGAGTGAGGAGGAGTGAGAAAGGCAGGAGTAGGCGAAGGATGGATGATGACGACGATGCTGATGATGATGATGATGATGATGATGATGATGATGATGATACTGATGATAGCGATGATTGGTGACGATTATGATGCCGCTGATGGTGATGATGATGATGGTGGTGGTGGTGATGATGATAAGGAGGAGGATGATCGCGATGATGTCGATAGTGATGATGACGGTGGTGATGGTGATGATAATGAGGGTGACGATGATGGTGATGGTGATGGTGGTGATGACGATGACGTTGATGTTGTTGGTGATGATGCTGATGATGATAACAGTGATGATGTGATGGTCATGATGATGCTGATGATGGTGATGATGGCGATGGTGATGGTGATAATGATGGTGACAGTTGTGGTGATGGTGGTAGTGTTGAGGTTGCTGCTGCGGATGATAATGGTGGTGGCGATGATGATGGTAATCATGGGGGTGAGCATGGTGGTGATGGTGATGATGATGACGATGATAATGATGATGCTGATGATGCTCATGATGATGATAACGATTTGATGACAGTTTGCTAATGATGATGAT